CAGTTGTTCTATATTTATAATGCACCAAGTTAAAAAGCTCTACTTCGAGACAATATACAGTAGCATAAAACGAAGTTTGTTTGGTATTGCACTTGCTATAGCAGGGTACACACCTATGACATCACCACTGCGTGGCGAACGCATAAGCGTGTGTTGTCTGTCTTGTTAATCAGCGGTACAACGTTGATTAATTAGGGGCGGATCCAATCCTATTTTTCCCTCTTCGTTTGTGCCTAAAACAGTATTGACAATACATAGTCGAGCTGAATATATGATCGTTTATGCACGTAAAAGGCATGTGAGTGACCTATGTTATGACAAATATATGCTGCTGACTTACCGTATTCGTTATCGTTATCGGTTCGTAAGTTTGCGAAACCAGCTTATTCCTGACTAATGATCCTTCAAACGATGCTGCAACATTGTGTAGGCGTTATTTAGTGATACCGAACTACGTTGTTATTTGTGACATAACCTAGCCACAACGTGTTAGCAATTACGTTCATAAATGTTATAATAACGTTTTTTTGTTTTTTTTTTTTGTTTTTTTTTTTTTTTTTGGGTTGGCTATTACCTGAATAATTACTCTTACTCATTACGTTTTCACCTCTGGTTGTTGAGAGTGGTATTATTATTTTTTTTTCTTTTTTTTTTTTTAGCCTACTCGTGTCAGTTCATAGCAAGTAGCAGTAATATCGTACCAAAGCAGCAGTCTACAGTGCAGCTAAGCCGGTACTCCTTTTTTTCGGTATGTAAATAAGCTGAACTGAATAATAATATTCAGCGCAGACGTGACCGGCCCTGGAACTTTCAACAGCTACTTACGCTCGTGTAAGCATGGGGCCTGGTAGGCCTCCTAAACAGATTACTGGACCATTATTCGTTCGTACCATCTTAGTGCGTATCAAATCATCATGACATCATCAAAATCATCATTTATCTTTAGATGGAATGTGAAAAGCAACTGTCGCAAATTTCTTCCACGTGATTTTGTCTTTCATGAGTTCATTGGGAGTTTAAAAGATTCAAGTTCAGTGTTCTTAATTACAATGGTATCCGAAAATAACTAATTTTCTTCTCCCTACGGGCTGAAATCAGAAATCCGTTAGAGTAGGTGAAATCAAGCTTAGAGATAGAGTACCTATGCAGTCACCAGTATTGGAGACGATGCTTTTTTATTGTAGTTGACAAACTGCATTATTAGAAATAAGATCTTCGATAACTGATATCCAGATCGTACAACAGTAGAGTATAGCAGCCATTTATACAGTCCTCAAGTTTCTGAGTAACGATTTAATTTTCTGAGACAGAGTGTTGAGTATGCTTTCACAAGCCAAACACCGAAGAAATCCAATCCATTGACGAAATGTCAGGAAGGTTAAACAAAGCGTAACGAGCCGTCATTACCTGTATTAGCATTTTGGTGATTGTGAGCAACCTCAAATTGATTTGTTTCTCGATTCAAGACTTCTGTTATAACGCACATTGATTTGAAAGGTTCAGAAATAGCGTATGCCATGGTAAACATATCTGATTTTAATGATGATTTACACTTCTTGTGACGAACGCGTTCCTTGTGACCTGAGACAACTAGACTTATTGTCTCAGATTTTGACCGATTAGGAACCTTTTGCAGTTAGGCCTATCCATTACCATGGGTTTCATGATGTAGCAAATATTGGGACACGATTAATTAAAGCAACGCTTCCTAAATAATTAATACCATACGCCAACTTATCAAAGTATCGTTCAACGCATTTCCACTTCTTTGCAACATGACTACGCGCTCGAACACGCACATGCAGTGTTAACGATATTCTTCCATCTGGTGCAAATGCAAACACAATATTTAGTGTTCCTCAGAAAATACATTTGCGAAGCCTTTCAAAACGGACAGTGTCAAAGTCAAAACGCACTTTCACAATAATACACATGTTTTACTTTTTACCGGTGATTTTGATCTTAAACTGAAGGGCTGCTTTGAAATGTTATCTCCATAAATTTTTTTTTCCAGTAGTTTACCATGTTTCATACGCAATGCTGAGCTCTCCGAGTCAACTCGTTCTGATTTCTGTTTATTCTGTTCCATTTCCAGTGCCAGCTTAGAAATTGATTGTGCAATGATATTGGCTACAAATTCAGCCGCAACCTGTGAAAAATAATTAAGAAACCATTAAGGTTACAAAAATAGCATCAAAAAGCTAAACAACAACACGGGCGTGTTCATATAGAATAAAAACTACGCTCTGGAACATACGTAGGTCTCTCTCCAATTAAAGTCCACTCCTGGGACCAGTGTTTACAGTGGTCTTTATCAACTGTCTCTAATTAGAATAATAAAGATAAAAGACATGTTAATTTGGGACCACAAAAATCATCTTTAATTTGAAGAGTTTTTTAAACTTTAAACACTGGAAAACTTTGAAGAACTTATTAGTAAGCAAGCAAGCGTGAATAAGCTCAGCAGTGGTTGAAGGTTGCGTAAGTTCTTCAAAGTTATCCATTGATTAAAGTTTATGACGTTAATCTAAGTAGCCTCATATGTATTATTAATTTTTGTTTAATTTATAAATAAGGTTAAATTTAGTCGTGTATTGTTACAGGATAGTAGGACTGTATATAAAACTATCATATTTTGCCTGAAATATATCCACAGGATTGAAGCTTTTACTGCCAATTCTCCAGAACTTTTATCGGGACTACTTAGCGGCCATTATTCCCAGCGCCTCACAAACCCCACCAATCGGTATAGAGTCCATAGTTTATGCAGGTTTATGCTTTACTTTGTCACTGTTAACCAGAATTTCTTCATTACGCCGGATTTGTCAAAATCGAGTGCGAGATGTAGCCATGTAAAATATGGCGTGGTGTGATTTGTTGCGCATTCCTTATATAAATCCCGGCACACACTACGACTGTCGACTGACGAATCCGTCTCCGTTGGCCGTGACCGCTTGACGATGTGACGCCGTCTGCTGATTGCCGGCAGCAGTGTGCGAAGATGTATTAGCTCATGACAGTCAGTACGGTATATCTTTATTAAGTAAATCCTTATTACATTGCATCTTTATGTAGATTATTATTAAAGATTTTACAAACATCTTTTTATTGCTGCAAATAAAAAGATATTGTTTCCGTCACGTCATGTAGCTTAGCGGAATCGTAGTAATACCACATTCCTTATTTATAATACAATTGATTTTCCACATATCGGGTTATAGCGTCTTTGGATCAAGAGGTAATTATCTAATTCTCAAAATTCATCCGCTGTAAAGTAGGGCTCTCAGACTTTGAAAAATTTTTATCATTTTACATCCTCCTTTATTCTCATGTCTTCATTTAATACTTTAAATGTGCCAACATAACATCTCTTCAATTAGATTGTCTTGCGTTTCACGTTGCTACAGGTAAACAACTTTGAGCTGGTATGCTAGAGAATGGCACAAATAGTATGATTTATGTTTCTCGTCCAAAACTTCAATATAAGTATACAGGGCTATAGTTTTATTACAAAAGTATTATATCAAAATTTTGGCCTGCCTACCTTTTGCAATTGTACCGAATGCTGGTCTTTTAGATCACCGTTTTCTCCGTCACCTATGTCCCATTTTATTCTCCCCTTGTTAACTGTTTCCACCTTTTTCTCCATATTTAACTCCCCTGCACCTATGACTTCAATACTATCGAGCAAATAGCACGGATCTGATGTATTCTCAATTTCTTGTGAAGTGAGCCAAGTTAACCATTGTTGAATATTTAATTCGTTGTTGTCTGAAAAAATAGAATATTTAACAGTGAGTTCTTAAAATCAAAACGTTAATGTTATACGTCACAATTCTTCTACTCATATCAACCTATACTTCAAAGAACACATGTTTATGCAAAAAACACATAATTCATTATGCTGTATTCAGGCGTACAATGATAATGCGTGCTCGTAAAATTATAGGAAACATTACATTCGGACTCTTGTACGTCACATATAGCAAAAAAAAAAGGTAAATTCACTCTTGTCTATATTCATATACGGTATAATCATTAAGCAAGACGCTATGAATGACCATAATCCTAAAATAGATTGTTAAAAGTCGAAGGCCTTAGCTACAAATGAATAACTTGTTAATGAAACACAGATTGAATCTGTAATTTACTTA